CAGGGACAACAAACCATATTTGACAAGAGTATTCAATGTAAAGACGAATGGTTGATTTGTAGATTTGAAGGAAGGACGCAGGTGACAAAAACCTTCTGGCGCAACACAGAGAACCAACTTTCCTTGCGGTAGATGAATGTAGTTGGTCCAAAACTGATCGAAACGTAGAGTTTGTAAATCTAGACAAATGTTAGCGATGAATTGAACGTCACTAAATACTGTGAGAATTTCAACACGAGTCAGCGTTTTGCGAAACGATTTCTCGAGTGTAATATCGCACATTCAACGCTGGTGTTAATAAAATAGGTTCGCATATCTAATAATTATATTAAAGATATATTAGGTTGGTGCAAAAATAATGACGTAATAATGTCGTTTTTTGACGTTAAAAAATACGTCAAAAACGACATTATTACGTCATTATTTTTGCACGAACCTAATATTTGTCATAATATGCATTTCATCTATTATGTTACTTCTGTTATATAAGTAGGGCGTGTATGTTTGTGTGTGTGGCTTTATCTTTGTCTTATCGACAGATATTAAACATAAATCTATCCATGTATGTATGTATATTTCTCTCTCTCTATATATATATATATATATATCTATATATATATATATATATATATATATATATATATATATATATATATATATATATATATATGTCTATCACAGTATTTCTATCACAGTCAGTTAAGTATCTATCTATATATCTATCTCGATTTTGTTTCTTATCTCTCAATTTATCTATCTCATTATGTCCGTATCTGTTTGTCCATCTCAGTCTCTCTCTCTCTCTCTCTCTCTCTCTCTCTCTCTATCTATCTATCTATCTATCTATCGTTCTCTCTCTCCATACATCTCTCTATTTCTCTATTTCTTTCTCTCTCTGTTTCTCTCTGTCTCTCTTTCTCTCTCTCTCTCACTCTATATACATATATGAGGTAATTACTACATGTTAGTCAGATGAGAGCCGCCTCTTTAACTTTCGCATCACGTGTAACGGCGTCTGTCTCGTTTCGGCGTCCATAGCCACTAAGATGACATCTGTGGACAGCCTTCGACGACCTGCTAAAACAAAACACAATTTGTCATTACAAGTATTTCCTTTCAGTTACGTGTTTTTATTCTGTAGTTTCCCGCTCGTTAACTATGTAGAAGAATATTTAGGCCAAATGAGGCCTCCAGACCAACAGCTATACGGACACATTAGAAGCACTCCCATTTTAGTAGCGTTTATTCCGTCCTGAGTGTGGCAAATAAACTGCATCCATCAGAAAGACCTCTGATCAGGAGATTGGAGGTTTCTTTCTCCGGTAGACTGATGGCTAAGAAAGTCTATAGGATCCAACCTGTCCTGGTATTCATTCTGGGACAAGAAGAGATGTTTCAGATATTTCTGAAGGGTATTTGCGTGTCAGTCAGTTTAGTGCCATACGCGATACACGTTTAAACGATCATGTCTCTCCACAACTTCAGGCCCTAAATAACTGTTGACTCTTTTAGTTCAGGGCCATAAGCGATACACGCTTGGCAATAATGTCTCTTTCGATTCATATCTAACGGCAGTAGATTGCCGTTTCTTTCTGCGGCAGAAGGCTATAGAACACAGCCTGTCCTGCTATTCAACCCTTAGATAAGAGGAGAAGAGATGGATTCATGCCTTTTGCAAGAGTATTTGCGTGTCAGTTAGTTAAATGCCATACGTGATACACTCTTGGGGCGACCATGTCTCTTTCGATTCAGGACTGACGAGGCAGATTTTCCCGTACTAGGTTTCCGATTCTTTCATGCGGTAGACTGGTTGCCAATCAAGGCTATAAGAAACAGACTGTCCTGCTATTTAACGTATAGGTGGGAGAGGGAGATGTGGTGGTGTCATGCCTTCCTCAAGGTTATTTGAGCGTCGGTTAGTTAAGTGCCATACGTGATACACGCTTGGGGCGGTCATATCTCTTTCGATCCATGACTGACTAGGCAAGAGATTTTTCCCACAGTAGGTTGCCGTTTCTTTCTGCGGTAGACTGGTTGCCATGGAAGGCTATAGGATCCAGCCTTGTCTTCTATTCAACCCACAAATGGAGTGAGAAAATAGGATGCATAACTTGCCCAAACGTATTTGCGCGTAAGTGAGTGGAACGAACACGACTGGAATTGGAACTCGCCTCTCCGTGTTCTCGTCCCGGCAGTAGAAACTTTCCTCTATCATCTACAAGACATTGAACTTTCGCCTATGGTGATCGATGGATCTTCTCTCAAGGCCTCTCCCTGCTCGGAACGTCAACTGGGGCTTTTCAGAAACCCCAAGTGGAGCTCCTCTACAGAGTGTGATGGGTGAATTGCTGCCATTTTGTATTTTTAATTTCGCGCATGCGCGTTGTTTGTTTTTGATTTTGCCGTCTGTACCGTATAGTTGGCTCAACTGGACATCGTTTGTGAGAAAAAAAGAACCACGACACAATTCACTCTGCCATAAATCTAGAAACAACATGCTGTACTACTTGGCTTTTGCACCGGAAGCTCCTATACGAACATTTCAGAGCATTTAGGTGTCAATCTGAGGACAGTGCCGAGTATTCGGAAAGAGATAGATGAATCTAATGGTGATTACAGAGAAACGACAGCTATGAAAAGTCACTTTGCTCGTTCTAATAAGAAAAGAACTCCCGAAATTTTTGGCGAGGGCCTTGAGAAGGTACTGCTGCCTTGGGTCAAGAGGGTGGCTGCTGGAAGACCATATGTCTGGAAACAGGACTCTGCACCATGTCACACAAGTAGAAGAAAACAGTCATGATTGTCAGACAATTTCTAACATCTAACATCTGTCCACCTAACTCCCAACATTGCAACCACCTTGATCATTATGCGTGTGCGCAGTTGAGCGAGAGGCGAATAAATCTCGCTGTAGCACCAAAAATCTACCGAAGGCAAGGATTATGGCTGTATTCACCAACTTAAACAAGGAGACCGTTCTGAAGAGCTGCAGTAGATTCCGAAGTCGTCTTGAGGCCGTGGATGAAGCCAATGGTGATTTTATTGAATAAATTTACTCTTTATTATTTCAAGATGTTTTTGTGTAATTTTGATATATATATATAGATGAGATGTCATTTTTATTTTCATTTTTGCGTCATTTAGACGACAGTTTAACCACGGCACCATGTTTTCGATCCTTCGCCGAAGACGATGGGAATATGGTTGGCTCCTTATACTGCACCAGTAAGTATTTGACTCCTCCTGCTATGCCCAGTCTTCACTGAAGCTGGATCAAACCTAAATTGAAGTATCGCTGCCTTAGCTGGGCGAGAGTTGCCCAGTCTTCTCCTGTCTGTCTTGATATGAGACAACGATATATAATTTGCGAGTACTATGAACAAATCCCAAAATCCAACGTTTCAAAAAGTTGGAATTTGGCTTCAGAAAGAAATATTTATGCATGGATAGTTGTATGTTGCATGCCCAAGAGTAAGAAATCCTAAAAATATATTCTTCACCTTTAAAAAGGTAAAAAGTAATATTTCTTAAAAAAGATATTGTTTACCATGAAGTCTTATAAAATTAAATTAAATTGAAGAAAGTATTAAACTGCGAAGTAAGGGTTTTGTCAGAGTATTTTTCCCAAGATATCAGCTTATTCCAATTTCGACAATTTTTTTAAGGTAAAGCGGGAGTGCCACTAACATGCAAGGGGTTACGTAGAGTGATAGCAAGAGTAAAGAGGTGTTTTGGGAAAAGGATAAAGAGAAGGACAGTGATCAAGATCAAGGCATCAGAAGATGTCGGTTGGCATTATATTTGAATATTTGAAGATTATAGATATCAGGGAAGCAAGTAAGAGGAAGAGAGTTCCACTGTCGGGAAGTGCGAGAGAAGCTGTTGGAGTAGAAGAGGCGGTTACGTGTTTCGACAGTAAAAGATAATATTAATTCTGATATTGATGAGATAAAATATCCCGAATTACTCTAAGACGACCTGTTTCAAGTTTTTTTTTTAAGCATTTCACCCCAAGCAAGGTGAAGTGCCACTAGTACGCAAGGGGTTACAGAGAGGCAGAGCAAGAGTAAGGTGACTTGTTTGATGATATAGAGACGGACGAGGATCAAGATCAAGGCATCATATGAAAGGACAAAATTAGATCAATAAAATAACGTATTTGACAGTAAAAAGGACACTGGATGAATTTTGATTGACTGATTCGTATTTTATGCATTTACGAGTTATTATTTAGGTTAAATTAAGGCGAATATTAAGCTATTATTAAGGCGCATATTAAGTTATTATTAAGGAGAATAATAGGTTACTATTAAGGAGAATATTAGGTTATTATTAAGGCGAATATTAAGTGATTATTAAGGCGAATATTAGGTTATTAGTAAGGCGAATATTAAGTTATTATTAAGGCGAATATTGGGTTATTATTAAAGCGAATCTTAAGTGATTATTAAAGCGAGTATTAGGCTATTATTAAGGCCAATATTAATAACGTTGTTGATACTAATGGCTAATAGACTCATGAAATGAATGCATATAAAAAAGAATTATTCGGGAAACCTGCAACATTATTTGTGTCATTTTAAAAAAATATCTAAAAAAAGATTGAATCCTTCAAAATTTTTTAAAGTATTTGCCGAAATGATGGAACGAAACTGGAATACAAGGACCTGGAGTAATGTTCAACAAGCTCGTCTCGCTAAATCTGATATGTGACTTTGAGCCTCACAAGGTACTCCATATTTTCGGCCTTGAGCTACATCTAAGGTACTCTTAGAAAGCCACCATTAGGCGACAAGATGTGTTTTATGGTGATCCTACGTGATTTGGACGGAAGCCTATAATATCCCCGTACGTACAAGCTTACTATATATTGATATTCCCAAAAGGTCACCCATCTAGGAACTGAACAGGGCCGACGTTGCTTAACTTCGGTGATCGTACGGGAACCGGTGTTTCAACATGACGTTATCATAAACCCTTTATATCCCCGCACGTCTAAGCTTACAGTGCCTGGAATTTCCAGTGAGGTCACCCATCTAGGTATTGGACAGGCCAGACGTTGCTTAACTTCGTTGATCGTACGGTAACCGGTGTTTCAACGTGACGTGGTCGTAAGCCCATTATATCCCCGCACGCTCAAGTATACAATGCCTGGTATTCCCAAGAAGTCACCCATCTAGGTACTGAATAGGCCCGACGTTGCTTAACTTCGGTGATCCTACGGGAACCGGTGTTTCACGTGACGTGTTCGTAAGCCAATAATATCCCCGTACGTCCAAGCTTACAGTGTCTGATAATGTTAATAGGTCACCCATCTAGGTACTGGCCAGGATCGACGTTGCTTAACTTCGTTGATTGTACGGGACTCGGTGTTTCAACGTGACGTGGTCGTAAGCCCATTATATACCCGTACGTCCAGGCTTACAGTGACTGGTTTCCCAGGAGTTCACCCACCTTGGTACTGAGTGAGCCCGACGTTGCGTAACTTCGTTGATCGTAAGGGAACATGTGATTCAACGTGATGTGGTCGTATGCCGATTATATTCCAGTACGTCCAAGCTTCGAGTGCTTTATATTCCTAAAATGTCACCCATCGAGGTACTGAGTAGGCACGACTTTGCTTAACTTCGCTGATCGCACGGGAAACTGTGTTGCAGCGTGATGTGGCCGTAAGCCTTGTTGTTTTGATATATTTGCCTTCAAAGTTTGGCTAACTACCATTTTTTTTCTTAAATTGACAGAATTACTTGATATTTTTTCTCGGTATTTAATTGAAAATGTTTGTACAAAAGTTAAGTGGTCCTATCAGGCGTCGAAAATAGAACATGTCACGGAAAGAAAACATAACGAAAATTGCAGATAAAATCATTTTAATCTCAGGTTACGAATCGTGCTCACCAGATATAAACATCTCTCTCTCTCTCACTCACTCTCTCTCTCTCTCTCTCTCTCTCTCTCTCTCTCTCTCTCTCTCTCTCTTTCTCTTCACAAATGATTCTTGTTTGGCCGCTTCATATGATCAACGTAATTCTCTGTGGCCTTGATGTGATATTTGAAAGTTTAGTGTTTTACCATTACAGATTATTTGCATTATATTCTCCATAATAACGTATTGAAAGTTGTCTCCCTTAGCTAAATTTACCCGGGGCAATGAGACAACGAATTCTGATATAGTTGCCCTCTTTTTTTTTTTTTTTTTTACTAATTAATCACCTAATCCAAGACCCCAAAGCAACTCAATGTATATGGCTACTGAGTTAGTCTTTTGTATGATGTAAGAGGAGGAAGTAAGTGCAAATTACGAGGATAGATAGGAGAGATAATCGTTGGCCCCAGACTTGGAGAGGTTAAGATTATAGCGATCGTAGAAGCATCCTCTCGGGAGTCGATTCCACAGGTCTTGGAAAGTAATTGTCTGAATGGAACATCTTCCTTACGAATGGAATATGAAGAAAATTAGTCTCCGTTGCGCGCGTGTTATGTCAACTCCTAGATGTTAAGGTCTTAATTGGTGGTACTATGGAATGTTCTTCGCCTAAGTATCTTCCATGAAAACAGTAATAGAGTAGAGAAAGGCCAGCAAAATTTCGTCCGTGGGAAAGAGGATGAAGGATGGAAAAGATTAATCACCCAAAAAGCTGTGTATGGACGTTGAATACATAGGGAAAAAAATGGCCCGTGAAGCTAGACCTGAAGAGGTTAAAATTATAGCAATCGACGAAGTATCCGTTCTCTAGTCTGTTACATAAAGTTGCAGTTCTTAAGCCGTCCGAAATGAAGCAGAGGAAGATAAAATGAGTTAACAAAATTGTGAAGAGGATTAATGCGGAATAAACACGATCGCCGCAACTGGTATTTGAAACCGGCTCGTCGACACAATTCCCCTCCCCCACCGTTTTCAATCATTCATTATTCGACCGTAGTCGGGACCATAGATCAAATGCGAATAATTTTTCAGCTATATAGTATGTGCTAAGCCAGGGATACATACAGTTTTTGAATTCAGAGTTATTTCTCCTAGACCGGTTACCCTCCAAGGCTACAGAACCCAGGTTGTCCTGCTATTTAACCATAGCTGGAGGGAGAAGATTCATACTTTTCCCAAGCGTAAGTGGATAGATCCGACTGGAATTCGAACTCGACTCTCCGATTCCTCAATCCGATCTGATATCCACCATACCTGCCCCGTGCTTAAACCTCCCAAATAAAGCCATTAGCAGAGATGCCAGGGAAATTACAACAAAATCGATTCTCGTACATTAACAAAATTCTTTGCAGAAGTCGAAACAGGAACATAAAGGCATGTAAGATTGGATTCACTGTTTTCTTGGAGATTGCTTTTGAATTAGAAATTCCTCCTGGAAGCTATGCTAACACTAAGAAATGTCTAAATTCCCAAAATTGAGTCATAAGTGATATCCATCGCTCTCGTGTGACCAGGGTCTGCGCTAAGCTGCTGATGGCGGCGCAGCGTCTGTTATGGCTGTAGCGGTCCACGCGGAAGTGACAGCCTCGATTGCAACGAATGCATTTCAAAACGCCCTCCCTGATGCCACCTTGTTGTTTTTTTTCTTTCCTTCGAGCAGGCTTCTCCCCGGCGGCAAACCTATGTTTCTTCTCTCCTCGCTACAGCCATCGGTGTAAATCGCATCTCCACCCTAAGCGATTATTGGCGACGTCGTCCCACGTCTCGATGTTCCTCGACCTGTTGTCACTTTTGCAGACGTCCTTGAAGCGAAGATGAGGTCACCCTCGTGCCTGTGACCAGTTCCCTATACAGAAGTACCTTTGGAATCCGTGTTTTTGCCGTCGCAGTGAGGCGACGTTGGAATGTCATCTTCAGGGATATGCGGTTGCCCATGCAGAACAACTCCTCTCCCCATGCCAACGATGGGAAAGGTAGAGGCCTATACAACTTTGCACCGGTCTCGTTGCAGGAGATACCAGAATAAACATAATCTTGGACGCTTTTAGGGACAACGGCTCCGGATTTGTCCTCAGAGTTTAGTTCTTTCCGAACCGTTACCATTAGGCAGCAGAGATTTAAATTTAGAGATTTCATTCTCATTAAATCGAGTAAAACTTTTAAAATACATGGAAAAAAATGAACACATCCTCTACTTATTTTTCAAAGCTGATTATAACGTTTCATTCGTATTTACAATAGAGCTGAATAAAGCTTTCATAGTTAATTATCCTGAAACCTGTGATGGATACACAGAGTGGAACCTCGTACGATTCAGTTATCATTCACCTTTTTTCGGCGACAATATCGTATGATATGTTGGGCTACATATATTATTTTTGAATCAGGCCGACTCCGTGAGCAAATTAAATACATTCCGGGACGGATTCGAACCCGCAATCCCGACATTTTGGATTCCCAGTTTTTATTATTGCGATATTTTTACGTGATTTTTGCGACGAATATCTTATACGATAACAATTTTTATAAGTTGGATATAAATTTGGGGTTAACCATAATTAATTACGAAATCCAGCAAAAGACACGCATGAAATAAAAGTAATTGTTTTTACGGAAGGTAAGGACCTACGTACACCAGATTGTTTTTAAATGAATTTTCCGAGAGAAGAATTATCATTGGACTTTTAAAAGGTAAGGTTAGCTATTAATGGAATATTTAAATGCAGCGACCAATTTTGAGTTCTTCTGTAGTTTATTGTTGCCTATCCCATCAACGTCTTCCTACTTTGTGATGAAGGCCCAATCAAGATCCCTCCGCAGGAGCAAGCTTAAATGCCGCCGGATAAGGCAGCTTTGAAGCTAGTACGCACCCCCCACATATATATATATATATATTTATATAAAAGTGAACATTTAAGTCAACACTCAGAGGCGACAGTTTCATGCTGGACGCAATCGTCAGGTGTGAAACAGCCTGTCGCCTCTGAGTGTCGACTTCAATGTTCACATTTATATTTATATTTACATACGTTTTATCTCTGATAATGAGCACTTTATCCCATTAATATAGCACACCATAAAACTATATTTCTTCATCTGGTCGGCGGCTGATGAAGACAGGGTATCGCACGTGCTAACACACGTTGTATATATATATATATATATATATATATATATATATATATATATATATATATATATATATATATATATATATATATATATATATATTCGAAAATTGTAACATAAACATCTTATAGTGCTGTTATAACATGTTTATGTAGCGATTTTATAACATGTTTATGTTACAATTTTCCAATAAACATTTGCTCTACTCTGTACTGAGCACTCATTTAAGAATAGTATTTTGGTTATTGGAATTTATCCTGTATACACTAATCCAATTCTTGGTATATATATATATATATATATATATATATATATATATATATATATATATATGAATTATTGACACAAAAACTAATGCAAAGGTTAATGATTTAATTGGCGAGACATCCATCATCGCAAACAATTCAAATAATATACAAAAACCTCAGAATCCGTTATGAATGAAATGATCCTTGTTTATATAAATTTCTGCCGTATTAGTTCTTATTTTTACTACAAGCTTTCGTCTGTTCCTACAGACATCTTCAGGTATAGAATAGATGTTGTTCTTGTTTTTTCTCTTAGTAATAAGAGGACAACGAAAATATATGTATTGTTGTATCCGAAAATGCTATTGAACGTTCTTCCCCGTGGCACCTCACTCTAGTTCGAGTGTGAGCGTAGTAGGCCTTGATGAGGTTGAGAAGCTTGGACGGGAAGCCATCATGACGCTATGATGTCCTTGGCACCAATTTTACAGCCACTGGTCAAGCGAAGGACGAAATCACCACCCGTATAAATTTGGCTAGAGCTGCCTTTGTCCGTCTTCAAAAACGACTTTGGTCTCGCCAGGAGATAAGACGATCCACGAAGTTGCGAATCTACGAAGCCATGGTCAGAACAATTCTTCTCTATGATTGTGAGACCTGGCCACTTCAGAGAGGATCTTCATAAGCTTGAGGTCTTCGATCACTACTGCCTCCGCCGTATCCTGCGCGTGAGCCTCTCCTACCGGATCCCCAAACTCGTCCATCAGCGCCAGATCCAACATTCTGGGCCTGGAAGAAGCTCTGCTTAACAGGAGACTCCGGTGGTTCGGCCACGTGCTGCGGCGGCCTGGTGATGAGTTCGTCCTTAAACTTGTGGCGCCAAACGCACCCACTGGTTGGAGGAAGCGCCGAGGTGGTCAACTCAAGACGCGGCTCGCAACGGTCAAAGCAGATATGGAACTCATGTCCGGTCCTCGCGTTTTCGGGGTCCGACGCTGGAATCGCGAATGGCTCGATCATGCCGTCGATTCTGCTGCCGATCGACGGGGGTGGATGGCCTTGACGCACGATGCGGTTAATTCATTTGGAGCCGGCTCAACCCACCCCGGGTGAATGCCATTACAAGACAAGACAAGAAGATGATCGGCCTCCTGTATCGCTGTAGTAAGTACCTGAATCCTAAGGCTATCCTCTAACCTTATAAGATCCAGATCAGGCCAAAATTGGAGTACTGTTGCCCTATTTCAGCAGGAACTGCACAGTCCTTACTTTCCAAAAGCGTTTCTGCGTCCTTGTGGGTGATGAACTAGTATTCATCCTCCAGCCTCTCTCTCTCACAGGCGGGATGTGGCGAGCCTCTCACTGCTCTA